CAATCCTCTCCTGTGATCCTGTCAAGCATACCTAATGATGCACCTACTTTTGAATGGAAACATGTATCGGTCCAAGACATTATTAATGCTGTTTTGGGCTTTAAACTCTCTAACAGTAAATATGTGTATGGCATGACACCTAATCTTTTGAAACACATTGTGTGGGCACTGGCACCTATACTAGCCCATTTGGTTAATGTATGCTTTTTAGTAGGTATTTTTCCTGCTCCATTAAAAGTCTCTAGAACTGTGCCTGTCTATAAAAAAGGGTCCCGTGACAATGTTGCAAGTTATCGACCAATATCGTTGATTCCTGTATTTTCTAAACTGTTTGAAGCTATTATGTTTGCTCAATTGTACGACCACCTTGAAGCACACAGCCTTCTGGTGCCTGGTCAATTTGGCTTCAGGAAAGCCAAATCCACTATATTGGCTGTTGATTCTATTGTACAATTAATTGTTGATGCTTTTGAGTCTAAGAAATCTACCTCCGTAATACTTTGTGACCTCTCTCGCGCTTTCGATTGCGTGTCACATGAAATTTTGCTCCTGAAATTGGGAAAATATGGCCTAGAAGGCAGTGCTCTGAGATTGGTCAAATCCTACCTCAGTGATCGCCAACAGGTTGTAAGTTGGAATGGTATTACATCCAAACCATTAGCTGTAAGACACGGGGTTCCGCAAGGTTCCATTATGGGACCTCTGTTATTTTTAGTAACAATCAATGACCTCTATACCAGACTTGAAGGTAATTGCATGTTGTATGCAGATGATACTTCCCTTATATCATGTAAAGCAACCCGTGAACAAGCAGAGCTGTCTGTTAAGAAGATTTTTGAGTCAGCCTCAAATTGGTTTGTTGACAATAAATTAGTGCTCAATAATGAGAAAACACAGTACATAACATTTAGCCTATGTGATTCCCAGATTGTTCCTTTCCAAGAGCCTGTCAAACTCCTTGGTATAACCCTTGACCCCTGTCTCAATTGGAAAGACCACATAAGCCAAGTCTGTACTAAACTAAGTAGAGTAGTACATCTTTTAAGACGTCTAAGTGACCAATTGCCACAGAGTACCCTTAGAATGTCCTTCTTTGCATTTTTCCAACCTCACATATCCTATGGGTTAATTTTGTGGGGCCATTCACCCAATGTCGAAAAGATCCTGCGACTGCAAAAGAAGGCAGTAAGGATTCTCTGTCATGCTCACTATAAAGAACACAGTAAGCCCTTGTTTAAGAGACAAAGAATTCTGACAGTTGTAAATATGTATATATTCCAATGCCTTGTTAGTATTAAGAACAGCATGAATGATTTACATGTAACCAGTTCAGCGCACAATCATGACACTAGGTTTAGTTCTAAGCTTGTCATTCCTCGGTCCAGGACTGATAAAAGAGCTAGGTCATACCCTGTTTCAGGAATAAAACTGTTCAATCACCTTCCTGGTCATGTGAGAAATCTGGAAAGAAAGAACTTCCAAACCGTAATATTAGACTGGCTGATTGAATATCCTTTTTTCAAATTTAAAGAGTTTTTTGAAACTGTATTTAGTTAAGTAAGTTTTCCTCTAAACAGCCTGTTTGCTGTTTTTGCATAGTGCATGCATTTTGCATGAACTGCATTTGTTTTGCTTTGTATCTTTTTGTGCATGGTCTTGAACATATTTTTTCACATGGTTGGTTTTGATCGATTTTTGGTTGGTTTGATTTTTAACTCATGATATTTATTTTATTATATGCTTGTACATTATGCTTGTACATTGACATAGCCTGTAACAATGTTGTTGTTGATTGGCCAAATAAATTCATTGTATTCATTGTATTCATATTTGTTTAACATTTTTAGTTGTTAAAATTCGAATTACGATTTAAATAAGAATATATTTATACCGTCAGATTCTGCAGTTAATGCAGATTCCGAATATATAACTTTAATTGCAGTCAACCTATTGTACGCACGGTCAGGAGCGTATTAACAACCGCGTACACGGCTTGAGGAACTGACATATCTGCGTTGGGTCCCCCATAGTGGTAGAGGAAGGTTACCGAAACGGCGCGCTTTTTATCCCACATCTCCTATCTACCCGGTGTTCCAGTTGTGTTATATACTTCGATGCTAATAAAGAGCGTTTTTAAGTAAAATAATTATAGCTTAGTATAAAATCAAGAAATTGGCCAAGTTTGATCAAAATATATCCATAAACAAGCAAACTACAACATTTTACAATATTCTCCTTGAGAATAACATGGGAATTTAAATTTACAATTTTTTGAGTTTTCTCCGTAACCAATAACAATAACTATACAAAAACACTTTCATATACTAAATAATTTATTTTTTTAAGCTATTTAAGAAGATCTAGAGAGAATTTGGAAAATGTTATGTTTTGAGGGTCAAAAATGAGAAAAACCCATTTTTATCCCATAAAACCCCATTCCCATGGTCCGATCATGCTGGTCCGCGAACTCGTTCAAGTTTATCCCGCCTTACACCTTCAAACCAAATTTCATCAAAATCGAACTAAACCAAAATTAATCAAGTTATTGTGTTATCGGACACATACAGACTGTCCCAAAAGTCCCGGACCGGTTTAATATTTTCTAAACGACAACAGATAAATCAATAAGATTTGGTACATCAAATACACACCTAAAAATCTACTTTTTTAAGGAAATATCAATTTTCTGTCACATCATGGGGACGTCCCGCAAGGAGTCAGAAGGAAATCTTAAATAGAAGCATAGGTTGACATGTACATCAAATTAAAGGCCTTTACTAGCAGAATATAATGCTGCAAATTTGAACTCAAACGGACAACCAAGTCAAAAATGACAGTGGTTCAAAGATTCATTTAATTTGCATTTGGGGGCACAGCCCTAGGAATCGGAAAAAAAATTGTTAACGTAAGCATAGGTCGATATGCACATCAAATTGAAGGTCTTTACTAGTAGATTACAATGCCGTAAATTCAAGCTCAAAAGAACGCCTGAGTAAAAATTGGCAGTCGTTCAAAGATTCAAAATGGCAGGTTTTAGAAATCTTTGAACGGCCGCCATTTTGTAACGGGTGATCCTTTTGAGGCGCGGTTTCCGGCATTGAACTCTGCTACCCAAGCCCTTTAAACTGATATGCATATTGACCTATGCTCCTATTTAAGATTTCCTTCTGACTCCTTGTAGGACGTCCCCTTGATATGACAGAAAACTGATAGTTCCTTAAAAAAGTAGATTTTTAATTGTGATGTTGATGTGCAAAATCTTATTGATTTATCTGTTGTCGTTTAGAAAATATTAAACCGGTCCGGGACTTTTGGGACAGTCTGTATATATGTACATATATAAAAATTTGAACGAATGGTGTTTTTGGCCTCTGGAGACATCAAAATGAAAAAGTAAATCGGTCCCGGGCCTAGGTTTTACCGTGCCACCTACAGTAATAGCTACTTTCCAATAGGGCAATTTGCTAAAACTATATATACTTGGATTACACAAAGATAAAAAGAAAAAGTTATTAATTTGTCCAAAAGGTATTGTAATCAGTTTTCAAAATCATACTATTCATATTATTGTATTAAAGACTTTGTACCTGACTTGAGTTGTTTTGAAAAGCAGTGTATTTTTGTACTGAAAACCGCTTCAAATAAAAGACGTTTCTATTCTATTCTATACTATTCTATTCTATTCTACTAATCATACTAATATAGCCTATTATAAATGTGAAAGTTTGTGTGTTTGTTTGCAGTTCAATCACGCATTAACTACTGGTCGGATTGAGCTGAAATTTGGTATAATGATGGCTTACAATCCCGATTAACATATGGACATACTCTTATCTCAAAGACCATTTCAAGCTCCGCCCCAGTGGCTCTGGAGATTCCCATGTTATAACCTTATCAGTATTTATATTTAAAAGGAACTAGCAGAGTTGTCCTTTGTACGGGTTGGCGTATAAGTATTAAATGCTTATTGCAGTTATTCTCGTGTTTTGCATTTACAATGGGAGAGGACACGTTTTAAGAAAATTTGGTTTACTATAATTTACGGTATACTATAGTATAGCATATCTACCATAGCAATATTGTTCTACCACTGCACCTAAACAACAGAAAAAAGAATAGTTCTCACAGCTTTTTCTGCTACTTGGTTCAAATTAGCTGTTGTCAAATGCAAAAAGAATTAATAGATGGATTAATAGAGATTTTATGGGAAATTGTACTACCAACCTACACCAGAATAAAGCTTGCATTCTAAGCTACAGGCTGGCAACGATTATAACGTTCCCCGGCAATGGCTGAGCTCACATTGAAGCAAGGTTGTTGGCATTGGAGAAGGACAACACTTCCCGCCCCGCACCAGTGGTGCCGGTACCGTGGAGCGAAAATTCCCGCCCCTCGCACTGAACGTGTTAATGCGTGATTGAACTTTAGACAAACAAACAAACAAACACACAAGCCTTCACGTTTATAATATTAGTATGAATATGATTACAGAATTTTGCCAGCTGCTTCAACTACACACGTTGGTTCTATGATATTCAATAGCATTAAAAAGTTATAGGGTTTAGCAACAGGGTGCAGCAATATTATTTTTTTGCATTTATGACAACAGCAAATTTGAACCAAGCAGCAATAAAAAAGCTGTGAAACACAATGGGAACTGTTAAAGTAGGATTGTTTACAGTTTTGCTTATGTTTTTGATTTATAAATAATTTGCGATATTGTGCGAATATTTGGTAATTTACTTTTTTCTGTTTTTTAGGTGCAGTGGTAGAACATTATTATGGCTATGGTAGATGTGTTATACTACAGCATACCGTAAATTAAAAGAACCAAATTTTCACAAACCGTGTCCTCTCCCATTTCCCATTGCAAACGCAAAGCACTAGTATAACTGTAATAAGCATTTTATACTTATACGCTCACCCCGTACTAAGGACATGTACTCTGCAAGTTAATATATAAAATCAAAATGCAAATACTGTACAGACGTTTCACTCACTCTAATGCAGTGCTGTACACGTCAATAGCCCCCTGAATATCTCCTTCTTGCTCGTAGAGTTGAGCGAGTGTGCGGTACGACACTTGACTTTTTCCCAGCTGTACTGCTCTAGTTAGATACTCCCGAGCTTTGCCCAGCTGTGCCAGCATCAGAAAACATTCACCTGAAAAATTAAACCAACCAACTGCAAGTTACATGACAATTTATTATAACTGTCATCATTTTTAAGGTCAACAGACTCCAGTGGCTGACATCCAGAGGCTGTCAGCACAACAAACCGTCCAGTGAACTGGACAATTTTACATCCCAGGCTTTTTCTTTTCCAACAATGTCTCATGTAAACTTTCAGTCTCAAGTCCTATAGACATTTAGATGAGCCTTAAACTTATCTATTAACTTTTCCATCTTAAACTTACAACATATTATAAATATAAGTTATAATATATCTTAACTGATAAACTTGCAAGCAACAATGAAACTGCTAACACAGCCACTGAGGGCAGGACTGTGTTTTGGCAGACTGTAGGGGTGTAGGGGTTGTGGGGGAGTGTTCCGGAGGTAGGAGAGGCACTTAACGTCCTTGGTGGTCGAGTCTGCGAACTGACAGATGCGATGTGTGTTGACCCATTTAATTAATAAGCAGGGTAGCGATATTTTAGCCTACGCACAAACGTCCGTCGGCAGTTGGACGGACGCCCTGTGTGTAGGCCTTTATACTCCAAAATAATTTATGCGGTTTGAGGGGAAATTGCCCCACTACGTTTTTTGCTTAGTATATGTTGCAGCTGATTGATCGTTTTGGCAAACCTCCCCAGCTGTTCAGCTATAGTTTTAAAGGTAGGTTAAAGTGGATAGAGCAAGAGCCCATGACTGCCAGACCTTCTTTATTTTATAAAAGTTGAAAGTTTCTCAGCAAATGCTCCCAGTTCAGTTAAGAATGATCGGCGACTATGAAATTTGGATCTTGGTTACTTTGGCAACAAAAAGTTAACAACGGTCTGAAATTTACAAATCATCTTCGTTATAGTATAAAAATTGGTTCTTTCATATTTTCTTCACAGGAATGTTAGAAATCATTTCTTCTATTGCCAGACACTTTGTGTGGTTTAAACCCTCTGCCAGACACCCTTAAAACTTATAGGTATGACGAAGATTAATTTTCGTCATTTTATAAAAGCTGAAATTGATATGTTACTTGCGGAGCTATCAAAAGACGTTTTCTCAAAAGCCAGACACTTTCATTGGTTATTTTATCTTCACTTTAAAGTCTGCCGTGATAAGCTTAACTGTTACCTGCAAACAGTGATTCAGTTCCAGTTTGCCTTTGCCAAATGTAAACAGTAAAATTACTACTTTCTTCTTCACAATCTGTTTTTATAATAAACCATATGTTTGATGTAAACATATGTTATATTTGCATTTAATTGTTTGTTTATTCCTGTAGTGTTTTGAAGTCACTGTTTGTAACTACTGTACCTACTACCTATTATTTTACTACAAGTGTCTGTTAAGATAAATGGTAAGATAGATGGTAGTTTTGGTGAAGAACTGGAAATGTTCCAAATGTTCTCTCGACATTGAGGTTAATGAAAATGTGGTATTAAATAAAGGAATTGTTGTTAATGATAAGAAAAGTCACAAGGAAGAGCAGTTTAATCACTCAACACTATTTGAGGAGTTAAATAAATCGATTCTCAATGAAAATGAAGAATTAAAAAATGAGCTTCATTTGGCAAAGAACAATAGCTCTTTGTATGTATTGGAACTGGAAGATAAGTTAAAGGAATATGAGGAAAAGTTTGAATCTCGGGAAAAACTATTTTATGAGAATGAAAAGGATATGCAGAAGAAGATCGAGTATTTAGAGCAGCAGTTGAAACAGCAAAAAGAAGCCAGGGAGAGTATTATAGTACAGGTTGAGGAGGAGTCAAGACAATCTTTTACACATAATCATATACAAAATAAGAATTGTGATAGTTGTGATATTTATAAAGAAGAATCTAGAAAAATGTTGGACACTATACGTAGCTTAGAGAATATAGCAAAACTACTGGAAAAGGAGTGTTTAGAAAAACAAAAACAAATAAATACATTAGGAACAGCAAAACCCGTATGTTTAAAATGCTTTCCCCCACTCACTAATGATAATGGTAAACTTCAAACCCTCCCCGCACCTGATAAATGGCATGAGGTGTCTGCAACCTCTCATCGTAATAAAATAAATACTAAAGGGAGTGACATGACACCTAGCTTTGTTACAAAGAATCAGTTTCAGGTGCTACAAGATGTTTTGGAGGATGTCGACTCGGATGTAATTGTCTCTGTGTGTGGTTCAAATGACAAAGAAGAAGAAAAAGAAGAAAGTACTACAACCCAGCCAATAATCAAAAAGAAGAGAAAAATACTTATTTGTGCCGACAGTCATGGAAAAGATTTGGCTTGGTTTGTGAACAAAGCTCAGCAAACTCATGAAGCAGTAGGTTTCATAAGGCCTGGTGGACTTACAGAAAAGATAATTAATGAAAGAAACATTAAAGAAGAAAACCTGAAGAAAGAGGATGTTCTTGTAATTGTTTGTGGAAGTAATGATGTGGCTAAGAATGAATCTGACAAGGTTTTTGCAACTTTAACAAATATCCTGCCTAAATTAAAAAGTACAAATGTTATGTTAGTAGATTTACCAATGAGACACGATTTAACAAATTGGTCGTGTGTAAATAATGAAGTTAGAAGAACTAATAAGCGCCTTGAAGAACTAGGTGAGAACTATCATAATGTGACGGTGGTTAAGGCAAGTGGAGCACTGAGACATTTGCATACACAACATGGGCAGCACCTCAATCAGCACGGCAAGATATGGTTAGCTAATCTCATAACCAAGGCAATTGCATCAACATCATCTGTTGCAAGAAGATGTCTGCGGGGCGTTGAAGATCAGCCGACTCCTCCGGGAACTGAGTCGCTGTTGGAAAACTACACCCCTCCAGGACAACCCAGTTTTGTGCATCGTCATCAACAACCACTAATGGACCCATAGCTGTAAGTACTTTAAGTAGATCACCAATTGTACACAGGTTAGATAATGTTAGTTTTTACAGCTTATCAGAAAAAAACAATGCAAATATCTATGAAAATAATAGTAGGCCTATTCTAAATAATAAAAAAAGCAGTGATAAGTTAAATTTAACAATCTTTCACCAGAACTGTCAAAGCCTGACTAATAAAATTGGAATTCTGGAAAACATTTCATGTGAATTTGATTTAGATGTTTTGTGTGTAACGGAGCACTGGATGGTAAGCAATGAAATCAGTAAATATTCTATCAATGAGCTAAAACCAATTGCAAATTATTGTCGCACTACCATGATTCATGGGGGATCAGCAATTTTCACTAGGATTGATCCATCGTTTATTAAAGTAATGGATGACATTAACAGACTTTCTGTTGAATTTGACTGTGAAATTGCATGCATTGAAATATTAAATTTTAAGTTAGTGATAGTTACCATTTATCGCAGTCCTGATGGAAATGTTGAAATTTTTTTTAATGTCATAGAAAAATTGTTAAGTCACATTAGTCGGTTAAATAAGCAGTCAGTTATATGTGGTGACTTCAACATGGATTTTCTTAGTATTGAAAAAGTTCCTGTGAACCTTGTAAATCTCTTTAATATGTATGGTTTACAGATGAAAGTTATTGAGCCTACTAGAGGGAAAAGATGCTTAGATAATGTATTTACATCTTTAAATGACAACTTTACAATCAATGTAGTAAACAGACATGTTAGTGATCACCTTGGACAGGTTTTTAAATGTAATTTTGACAATGTACCTGAAAATTGTTCTACAGAAAACTTTAAAACAATAACAAAGATAACTGATGAAGGTATTAGAGAATTCAAATTCTATTTAGGAAAAGAATGTTGGGAGGAGGTTTTTCAAACAAATGACATTCATGTTAGTTTTAGAAATTTTATAGATACTTTGAAATATTATTTTAGTGTTTGTTTTGTAACTACCATAACTAATAAAAAAGTAAGGTATAAGAAAGCCCAATCAAAATGTCAATGGTATAATTTAGAGCTAAAAAAAATTAAAGACAGACTAGATTTGCTGTATGACCTCTCAAAATCTACAAATATTACTTGTTATAAAAATGAATATAAGGAACTCAAGATTGTGTATAGGCGTAAGATTAAAGAGGCAAAAAAACAGGCAAACGTTAGCTTTATTAATAATGCAAAAAATAAAACAAAAGCGTTATGGAGTATTGTAAATAAAAATAAAAAAGGTACTGTAAATAGTAGTAAAAATAATTATTTTATACCAGATGAATTTAATGACTTTTTTATTAATGTTGCCCAAGTAACATATATCAAATTCAGCTTTTATACTATGATGTAAATTAACCCATTGGCGCCGACTTACGAGCGTTACTCGTACGGCCGCTGCAGGCCCGGCGGCCAACTTACGAGTGCCGCTCGTGTCACCGCTAGGCAGCGCCATTAGTTATTTAGTTATTATTATTTTTCGCCCTTTTTGTTTCTTCTTACTATTATCAAGTTTATAAATATCTTGCTTCTTGATTTGCGTATTTACTCATTTATTTTAGCGAATAACAAACAATTTAAAAAAAATGTTATTACTTATAAAAGTACACAACTTTTGATTTTTCTACGTAGGGAATCGATTGAACTTTATAATAGTAGTGTTATTTGGTGTCTGGATTAATCTTGGAATTTGTATATCAAGTTTACTTTCATAATATTGTTTTTAAAATTTTTATTTTTATAATCTTTATATATATATATTTTTTTTTAGTTTAGAACTTTGACTACCCAATTACCACTTTACTGTAGACAATTTTACTGTGAACAAAATGGTGAAAGAATTATTAATTTATTACTTAAGGTTTTCTTTCTATAGCAGTTAGAGTAAAAGTCTACAAATTCGGTAAAATTAATTGCCGCCAGAGGGTGCTGCAGGTAGCGCATTGATTCCTTCCCCAATGGGTTAACGGAATTACGGATGGAAATAAGTTGTGATATCTTTGAGTGCACCATAAGATTCTGTAAAATCACCTTTTACATTTGGCACAGAAACCTGTTCTATACTGGAACTGAAGTCACTGTCTGTAACTACTGTACCTATTATATTACTACA